ACTATTTATCTTTTTGCTCGGACACGCGAGTGTAACGAAATGAACATTAGTTTTTTGGAATACTCTATGCAAGGATGCTCTTATGTTGTTTTATATTTGTTATCGTCTTTTCTCATTTATAACACGTGTTAATGTTGTTAATATCTTTATGTGTGCGATTTCGCGTTTTAAGGAATTAACATCAATCATGAATATACTATATTAATTTTTGGAGTGCACACCTTGATTTAAAGAATTAGTGGATCGTTTTAAATTAATACGGTCGTAAATATATAGATATGTCCTTTATAATCCAAGAAATAAATCGAACGACGCGATTTATCTGTGTATTACTTATATTACTGAAATTTTTGTAGTATCAACTAAAAAACAGAATTGTAAGAAATGCTACTTTCTTTTTAAATTAAAAATTTGTTTCGCATCATTAATTCAATATTCTACGTTAGAATCTTTTTCAGTTTCAATATCGAATGAATCAAAATCGGAGGTAAATTATTATATAATATAATCTTCTATATGCGCATATTTTAACGTTACTTACCTATAAATAGACAAACTCGCCACTTGTATGATGATCAAACTCAATTCGTTCTTAAAACAGGCAAATTATGCAAATGCAGATATATTCATGAAACATAATCAGCTTGATTACTATACCTGTATTATGTATGTTTATTACGTATGTATTACTTACTTGAATTCGCGTTATATGTTTTTTTATTCCATTTTATCTTACGTGGTGGAATTATATTGCACAATCCTGTAGCATTAAATGAAGTAGTAGCATGAATTTTTGAGTCGTGGAGTAATTGCTCTTCTTCGTATAATAAAGATTTAGAGCAAGTTTATTTCTTTACACGTACAATAATAATAATTTATTTTTTCTATTATTGAGTATCGTATAGATTGAATCAAACTTTATAAACTTATCAAGCTAAATTAATAGACTAAATGAAACCTGTAAAATTTCGTTAATATTACAGAGGAGAAAACATTGCGACAATATGGAGCGGAATATCGTAGAATAATATAATACTTACGATTCTCCGCGATCGCACACGTAGAGGATCGGTGACGACGCCGCCCCTAGTTTTCCCTCGTGAGGGTGCGGCTTAAACCTGGGAGGTCGTCACACCTATCAGCTTTGCCGTTACCGATACATCTGTCCCGGTTACTGCGACGAAAAACTCACTGCAGAGGAATAAGTAACGCTTCTTATGAAAATTACCGTCTTTCTAGGAAATCGTCCTGGAAAAAAAAAGAAAAATAAACTACTGTTAGAACGAATATCGAACGATTTATCGCAAAAAGTTAAAATATCCGTCAAGCCAACAATTTTCCACGCGAATATATTAATCGAGTTATTAATTTCGTAGGAAATGATCGATTATTGCGTTAAAAATTGAACAATACCATAATATTCGTGTACCTGTACAACTGTAATAAAGAAATATCTAGATACACAAATTATAGCAACTCTCTCGAATAATAAACTAAATAAAAAACAAAAAAACAAATTAAATGACAATCGGCCGAAATGACTTCGCCAAAGGAGAACAATTCGATCGGAAACGGTCTTGTTAACAATCAATTTGGTTAATACATATATAAAAATATATCGTTAACAAACGAACGTCATTTACGAACACGTTCACCAATATTCGAGCTTTCTCAGACCTCACATATCGCTTTTCATTCGAGTCGTGATTCGCCATTGAATGGTCCCCGCCCCTACACTCCATCCCCTTTCAATGTTCCATGGGGTTGCTCAGCCGACGCGGCGGCCTCTTTGTACCTCTCCGTTTTCACTCCCATTGGCAATCGTGTTCGACATTCTGTTGGCCAATCTGTTGCTCGAGGATTCGTCGGTATCGTGGCTATATAATGCGGTAGGTCAGGGGGCGGCGGGAAGGCTCGTTTTAAATCGACCGTGAGAATTCAAAAATGGAAATTTCCAGCTACTTCACGTAGATTTCTATGAAGTTTTTTTTATAAATACTACCAAAGAATCTTAGCAGAAATCTATCAGAAAGCGTAGAGGACTCTGAGAGTTTTCAACGTTATACCGAGAAGTCATCTGCCTCCTTTTTATTCTCATTTTTCGACTCTATTAATTCGTTACGTTACAATCTAATGATATTCTTTAAGAGACCACGGATGTTAATGCAAATTTCTATCTTTTCATTCGTTTCTGCATCCCCACAGTTTCCCACAAATCCACAGTCTATTTATTCCTCTCTGTTTTAACACTCTCTCGTGATCTGATGGAAAATTAAGGCTCGCGAAACATCCTATTCTCCCTTAATAGTTCTTCGGCTTCGTTTGGCACCGCGTGGGCGCGGCCATTAAATTACATTAAAATATGTAATATCCCGATTCGGCCGCGCAGACCAACTCCTGGAGTTGGCAGAGACACTGGCTTTCGGCAACGCGGAGATTTCTCTCGGCGGAAGAGGAGAGCCGACAATCGGACGTTCGGCGACAACGAGCAATCAGCCTGCCGTATATCTGTTGCTGCTGTCGCCACGCATTTGTGGCCCATTGTGCCGTCGAAGTAGGTGGTCGGCCTTCCTGCTTCTTCCCTCCTTCGTACAAAGGTATCGCACAAAGTATCCGGAACTATCCCCCACGTTTTTTCCTTACTTTTGACCTGCAACGACACGCTTGTACACGTACTAATTTTTATCGATGCTTTTCATCCTTTAGATTTTCTTTTCTCTTTTTTTTCTTTTTTCTTTTTTTTTTTTTT